AGACAAAGCTCTTCCTCCTGTCCAAAGAGCTTTGCAAAACAGTTTTTGCCGTGCAGTGCACACCTCTCCCGTGGGTGCCCAGCAGCGCTCCGGTTCCTGTGCTGGCTGTCTGCAGTGACATCTACTGACTGAGCAGAGATTGACTGCGAGGTCCGAGGGGCAAAATTTACTGATCTGTTAATCCCGCGTCTCTTCTATTACGTTGTCACCTTCTCTGCTTCCCCAGTGATGCCACTTCCAGTCTTTGGCTGGCGGTACCTTCCCTCCCCGTCCCCATCCCCGTCCCCGTGCCATGCGGGCTGTCCGGCGGGCGGTGGCAGGACAAGGACCCCACTGTCCTAAACTTCCCCGAGATTTTGTGCCATGTTGTTCACCGAAATGTGTCCAAAGAAAGCACGTTACTTACGTTTGAGATAATGCTATACGTCAATAACGCTGAAAAGCTGCTGTTATTTCTCTGAGTGTTGTTCTTCCCCTTCTCCTTAATGATTCGTTACGTCTGCCACCGGGACACACATGGAAGTGGCGTTGCAAACTGTTTCTCCTGTATGCGCTGTGAAACACCGAGCAGATAGTTAATAATGAGTAGTTGAGGAGCTCTGCGGGTACATTTGCTCATTTTTCTTATTTAATGATGAAAGCAAATTCATCAAAAATAACGATAAATTAGGAAGGCCCTTACGCACCTTGAATCTCAATCCATTTTCTCCATTTTTGTCTCTGCCTTTCTAAGGGAGTTGCTCAGTTTCTCCTTTTGACTTACTTTTACAGCACGACCGCGCTCGTTGTTGTGCCTAACAAGTCCTTTGCTTGAAACTAACAAAAATTGCAGTGAGCTGCCTGGTGATGATTATTTTGTAAAAATGCATGTGCATCTGTCTTGCAGAAATGCTGCTCATGGATTCTCACTTATTCAGGTGGACAGTATGAAGGTCACCATGAAGGATATCTTACAAAAGGCCTTAAAGAGAAGGAAGGGATCACAGAGAGGCTCAGGTGGGTTATTTATCGTATTTTCTAGAGGGTAGGGTGTTTTTCCACGAGCATATTTTCTGTCGCTTTTTAACTGTTGTGAAAGAAGCTCTATTTGTTTTGGTGGGTGTTGTGATCTCCAGCGCCGCTCCGCAGCAGTTCTGCGCACAGGTCTGTGCTCTGGGTGCTGGCGAAACGCAGACAGCGGAGGAGCCGCATAATGTTTGCTGCAGAGCAGTATATCCATTACTGCAAATATTTATGGTAACAAAGCCATTTGCATTCAAGTCCAGCGAGTGGTAATTTGAGATGATGGGTGGAAGTACAGTAAGACCAGTCCTTGATAGAATTTGTATACTTTTAATTTATGTAAGAAAATGATGCTTGGTATGATTTTAAATGATTTAAAGGATTCGTTGTTAGTTGCAGAGAAAAAGAAAAATTTACTTTCTGCAATGTTGTCAAAATAGTACTTTTATAGTTAAGACATATCAACATTTAAAAAAAGAAAATTTACAGTACTTGCATTTATGTTTTAAAGCAATGCTTTGCCAGGGTGTAAATGTGCATTCACGTACACGTTAGTATATATATTTCAAAAGTATAAGGCTGGGAGATCTTTCCAGCAACAAGAAATAATTACTGTGAGAAATGGCACCGAGTCTTGTCACGCAACAAAGGAACTTTAATATAAACCTATCTATATACTAGGTAAAGATAAGGATCTTGTCTTTGTAAATGAATGAAACCTCCTTATATACCCTTAGTTTTAACTATGGGAAAAGAAAATAAACCCCGTTCTCTTTAGAAAAAGTAGTTTGGCGCAGTTTTTAAACGAGTGTATAATCTGTCATGGATTTAATTAGCTATCTTCAGATGAGAGCTGAAGTTTTAATAAAAGTTAGAAGAGATAACACAGTGAAGGACACGGATGAGCTGTCTCAAGGCCATATTCCAAGGGAACGATAAGAGCTGTAAAAAATGGCAGAGGAGAGCAATTGAATGAAGCAATGAAAATCTGATTCTCGTAAAAAGAAAAAAAAAAAAAGGGCTGGGGGGGAGAGAGAGGAGAGCTGCTGGTAGGGGTGGTTGTAGATGAGACCCGCCAGCGTCTGCAGCAATTTGGCCGCTGGCCAGGAGTCATTGTTCACCCTCGGCTGTGGCGGCTCCGTCCAGATGTGCCAACTGCACGTTTCGGCTTTTGCCAGCTGACTGCGCCGTTTGATAACCAGCTCTCTGGATGCCCATCACTGGCCGCAGAGATAGAATTAAATGATGATGATCTTCCCACAAGTTGGGAGAGGAAACAATGCATATAAATCTTGATTTCATCTCAGCGTGAGAAGTCTTTATCCATCATCACTCATAATGAACAAGTCGTTAGCTGCGATGAATGGTGTTCTGTTTTTTCAAACACCTCTTTTGTTCACTTTTTGGGTGACTTTTATTTATTTCCTGGGGTCAGATTTCTTTTCCCTGAAGGGAGGTGGCTAAAGGATTCACTTAGCTCAGTCTTCAAACTACTTTCCTCCTTCGTGTAACAGATGTTTTACTATTTGCCCATTTGAAATTTGGTTTTGCCTTTATTTTGTTACTTTTGCACAGTAGTTTAGAAATGGAATGGACCTGTCATTTATTCTTTCAGCTAATACGTTCATTTCTACTGTGTTGGTGCTCCTGCTCAGAAACCTTTGTAGTAACAGGGTATGTAAGCGTGTATGTTATCATTGGGGGGGGATGTTAATTAGTTATAAGAAATCATTTAAGTTTACTTTTTGTAAATTATCCATGTGACATCTCACCTCTTTGATATGACCATCATCCCTGCTGTGGGTATAACCATAGTAGAAATCGGAACAAAATATAGGTATATTTACTTTCAAACATGTAATTGGTTTTCTTGAAACAGTGAGTGTTGCCTGCAGATTTCAGTTTAAGGCTCTGCATAGATACGTCCCGAGTGAGGACCTGCAGGTGTAAGCTTCATGGGTTGCAGCCCCTGCGAGAAGAGTGATCGCTCCAGGGAAAGGTTCCTGCTTGAAATCCCGTATCGCTGTATTTCATAAATGAAATATTCAATTTTTTGTTTTATTTTTTAAATGTTAGTGAGCACTCAGTGCGTTATTGAAGTTGCGATGTAATACTGTCACGTGGGTGGAGGCACTTCTTAGATTAGGTATTTATGTACTAAATTGGTAAATCATGAATTAAACTTTCTTATTAAAATTGTCTTCCCTCGTCCAAAACTTCCCTTATTCCCAGTTGCTTCCCTTACCCAAAACTGCGGAGCGTCAGTCAGCAGGCTCTGGGGGCAGGGGGCTGGGAGGGTCCTGCCTCTCGCCTGTGCACCAGCAGAGAGGGCAGCTCTCCCCTCTCGCCCCCGCACCTCCGGGTGCGCGGCAGCCTGCGCCCTGCGCCCGGGGAGCGCATGGGGGGAAGAGGTTGTGTCATCATTCGTCGTCTGCCGCCGGGGTCTTCAGATTGGGAGCCGATGTGCCCTTACTTTCCCTGGGAGCTGCACAGATAAGCGGAGTTTGGGAGCAGACTACGGCACGGCCCTGTGCCGCGGTGCCTCACGTCACTGTTAAGCAGTGGATTGGGATGTCAAAGTTCTGAATGGAAGATGAGACATAATTTAGGAAAAGCATTTCTTCTCATTCAGCAATGTGTCCTTTTAAGTTGGTTGTTCCGATTTTCAGAAAGTGCTAACCAAAAATAGACTTAACCTGTTTATTTAAAGCTGTTGTAATAGTTTAATAGAACTGAAACACCTATGAACTTTTCTGCACATTTTCAGCGTGCCTCCAGACCACTCTTCACAGGACAAAGGAATTTATTAGGTTTACAGCTTACGCTGTTTTCAAGTACTTGTATAAGAAATTGCTTTCTGACTTATTTTCACCACTGGCTTAGATGACATTTTTTGAATTGGTCCCATGTTTGTAGGAAAATGCAAACCTTGATTGGCTGCTTTGGGTGAGGAAGAAATTGAAGAATTCCCATATAGTCAGGAAGGGTACGTTCCACCATGACCAGGGCTAAAATACTGGACTAGTTTTCTATAATTATTTTATCCAGCCGGTAACCTGTACCTCACAAGTAGGTTTGTCAACGAGCAATTGAGTCACAAGTTCCTGAACATTTTTACGCCGTGGTCACCTCTGTGAGTCGGTGACCTTCTGAGCTTCTCTGGTTTTGACTTCTGTTTGAAAGTGCCGTTGCCATCCTTGCGGCTCCCAACCCTCGCCTCCCTCCAGGAGCACGAGGCTGAGGGTGGCACAGAGCCCTGCTCTCGACGGATGGTTGCGCAGAGCGATTTCCCCGCGCTCGGTGCCAGCACGTGCACCGGTGTTCCCGTAGCTGCGGTGCGAACTGCGTCTGTAAAAAAAAAAATCAATGTGTTTATTTCAAAATCCCTTTTGTTGAAAAGATTAAAGCTGAATAAAGACTTTTGGCTGCGATTTAACTTCAAGCCAAAGATTATTTGTTGCAGGAAGATACAGGTCAGTAGAAGGAGATAGAAGTGGGGTACGACCTTTGTTTCATAGAAAGCGGCATGAAAAAAATGGCAGCAATATTGTGATTGTGCCCAGCTCTATTTAGATGTTATGTCAGATAAAATCATTGCAAAGTGTTCAAAATATTTCACGTTCCTTGCAGTTTTCCTTTCTTGGTGTCACAAGGCTTTTGCTTTAGTCGTATGAACTCTGACCATTTCTGAATAATAATTTTTGAGTCAGTCAACAGGAAATGCAGGTGGTAAAATAACCTGTATGTGTTAGCGCTGAGAGAACCGCGGCCCCGAAGTCGTTTCGTAGAGGACACGGTTGTTGTGAAGCAGTGCTCGGGGAGCCCGGTGACCCGTCCCACCGCAGGCAGCAGCGGGGGGTTAATGGGAATACTGTATCATCTCTTGCCACGTCCCCACATAACCAACTGGAAGAAGTAGATGGGGATGGCTGCAAGTTAGGGCAAAGCCTGCAACAACCAGTCAGTGCTGCATACTGGAGAAGATAAATCTGCAGAGGAAATTGTTGAGGCAGATGTTTAATTAGTTGGAGTCAGGCTGGATAAATCAGGATCGGAACTGTCTGTACAGATATGCTGGTGTGCCTTCCTTTTCTCTGGGCTGGTTTCATTGTCTTTAAAAACTAACTGTTCTTTTAGCTTAGGAAAGAAGCAGCAAAACCAGTCACATAACCTCTCTGTTATTGTAATGGATTCCCTTGTGTACACTCATAAAATAGAAAATGTAATTGATGTTTTCCTATGGTAATGAAAAATAACTAAGTAGAATACTTTATCATCAATTTGTTTAACCTATTGCGTGCTCAGCAGCATGTATTGCGCATGCATATTTTACGTGAGAGCTGGAAATAAAACACTCTTGGTTGCGGAATGAGCTCCCAGAGGAGACTGGTCTAATCCAGCGATGGACCACCTAGAGGGAGGCTCAGTGACATCTCCCGTGCACGAGAATTTTCTCGAAACATCCAGAATGGGGGAGAAGGGGACTGCGGCTGGGGTGACACCCCGACCCGGGCAGGCAGCGGCGAGGAGGAGAGGAGAGCTGGAAGTTCTCCAGGGCTGCGGGGACCCCACTGGGCACGTCCCGTTGGCCTGGGCAGTGCTGAGACACGGGTAAAGGGCCTGTGGAGAGCCCCGACGTCCATAGGTAGTTTAAGGATTGCTTTGTATGAACTTTGTGTCTACGTCTCTTTGAGAATGTGTTTGGACGTTGTGAGCACTCCAGCAGCTGTTGGTTTGGTCCGCAGTGTGGCAGATCTACAGAAAGGGGATCGGATGTGTGAAATCACGAGCATGAGAACTTCTCTTTCTCCCTGAATTTATCAGTGGAAATGTCAGATATGGTGCTGTCTGGATTTTGGACAGATATAATAATGGACTCTTGAAAAGCCTTTTTGGAAGGGGAGATTTGGATGGTTTAGTACTTGCTATAATTCTGCTCCCTAGAAATCACCAAGAGTCTTAATATTAACTTCTAAAAAAGGTAGATATTAGGC